AAGATCAGATGTGATTACGAGTGGAACGGATGTCCAGAAGTGTGTCCATTGGAGTCGTTGTCCACTCATCTCAAGACATGTCAACACAAATTGTGTCAAACATGTGGTCTATCTGTGGGTCTCGTAAGTGATGACCACAACTGTATTGAAGGCCTGAAGAGAGACCGAAATGAATGGACACAAAGAGCCAAAGAATTTGAAATAAGATTAAAGGAATCGAATGAAAAGACATTGAATTTGGAGAAGAAATATAATTCACAACAAAATGAATGGCAAACGAAATGCAATGAATGGATAGAAAGAGTGAAACAATTTGAGACAAAAACTAAAGAAATGGACCAAAAAGTCAAAGAATTGGAGACAAAACTTAAGAAGACTGAAGAAAATTTACGAAATTTTGAGATATTATACAAACAAACGGATTGTTTGCGCCTAAAATGGGTTCAGAAATACCAGGATTTGGAGATATCAGTGAAGACATCAGCAGTTGTAGCAAAACAAGTGATTCCTTTGGCTGTAATTCCCAAATGTTTACTGTTTGGTAGATATGAGACAAATGTCGGATCCATTGAATTCAAGAAATACGGTATTGTTTTCAATATTGTGTCGAGTGTTGGAAGAATATGTTTGCCGTATAATGAGATCCAATGTCTGATGGCATGTGTCGACCCCTCACTACCAATGCTTTGTATTAAACCAAACAAAGGCCGGGCTTTTCTTGTGGACAGAACTTATTGTTCAGTAACTGAATTCATCAATAAATGCAACTTTAATGTCCACTCAAAAGGTTTGCTATTATTATTGTGTATAAAAACTATCGAGAAATTCATTAATTGCATAAATATTGTATTCTCTCTTTATATCAGATCTGAACCAACAGTTTATTATCATTGAATTGAGAGATGTATTGAGTGAAACATTTGTTTCACAATTGTGTGAGAAATGTAACGATAACGGGAAGTCTGAACACAGTTTGATAGCCTCACCGGCCGGACAACTAAAGCCCACTAATAATAAGTGTGAATACAAGACAATTGACTTAAATGCTGCACAACTGATGTTAAAGCGATTAAATTGAATGTCATTCATGTTAATTACTTTATTATTGTTGATTGTGACACTTTACGTGTGCAATTATACGGCTATTATATGTGCACAAATATGACACAACTTACTTATGTTCATTTATTCTAATATAATTTATAAAATCGTGTTACTTGTTATACTGTATATAAAACATGTATTATTGTATTTTTCTGTTAATTTGTTAATTATAATAAAGTAATGTATACTAATGAACAGAATTTAATAAATATTAATACACATTAAGTTTATTATATGAGGATTAAAATATGAATTGAAACCATGTTCATTTTACAATTGATCAATAAATATGTAGTTTTAGTATTAAAATAACATTAATAATTATTTAAATATTGAGTTGAATCAAAATAAGTAAATCATTAAATTGTAACTAAAACTTGGTTTCAATTTCAATTAACTCCAAACTTTAATTATGAACGTAATTATTGAACATTTGAATCATTGAAATCATTGAAAATCCGGATTTAAAACTTATGAGTTGTCAGACAACAAGTGTTTCAAAAACTCATTTGTTTCGCAATTGCTTTGTATTTGTGTTGAAATTGTGGTTAAACTCAAGCGAAGCGATGGTTGGCTTTGTTTTGACCCGTTTTGTGGATCTGTCGGCGATCGAGACCTTGGCTTTGGAGGACTTAATAAAGTGTAGTATTTGTCTGCAAGTGTTGAACAAAGCGGTGGACACTCGATGTGGACATACCTTCTGTCGCGAGTGTCTCAATGATTGGCTCTCAAGACCGCAGACCAGCAAAGAGTGTCCCGAATGTCGGCAACCGTTGCCCACAAGAAAGCGGACCCGAAGTCAGACCACAGCTGACAATAGTTTGGTAATCGGAGGCAATGTTTTGGTGGAGAAAAGCCTTCGCATAAATGCAATGATCGGTAAATTGAAGATCAGATGTGATTACGAGTGGAACGGATGTCCAGAAGTGTGTCCATTGGAGTCGTTGTCCACTCATCTCAAGACATGTGAATACAGATTGTGTTTAACATGTGGTCTATCTATTGGACCCATTATTGATGACCACAACTGTATTGAAGGCTTGAAGACAGACAGAAATGAATGGCAAACGAAATGCAATGAATGGATAGAAAAGGACAAAGAATTTGAGGCAAANAAATATCATAAACAGTTAATTAAAATATTGCATATAAAACACAGACAGACATATAATTATAACAATAAATTATAACTGATTGTATGATTGATAGTCATAACTAAATGGTATTAAACATTATTTTTCTCTCTAATAATAAGTATAATATCGTAATAAATAGTGTGAATATGTATTTGTCGTAAAAGTCTGTGGGTATTAAATAAATGCGAAATTAAATCATAGACCGCATCCTTATTCGCCTCCGAAATGAAAATAACTCAACATTTAATACACACGAGAAAAATGACTTTAATTTGTGTATATATTTGAAGCTCAGCTCCAAATCTAATTGAAATTGAAGTCAATTTATATAATACTGTACTTTACGTACATGTGTGGGACTGGCATTGAGTTTAGTGATCATCGCGGGGTATACCCTATGGCCAGCGATAATGGCATTTAAACGTATATTACAATTGTTCATTACAAATGACCCAAACCTGTGGCCAAACTATTGTATCCTATTTTTCTCGCAACAAATTCCTAACATTTCTTATAAAGAAAGAGTGGTTTTGGAGTAAATTTTAAACTTTTTATGGCGACCCCTGCGACCACTGTATGTGCCGCACATATAGTATCCCAATACAAAAGTCATAGTAATTTTGTTGTAAATCATAAGTTACTCCGAGTGTTGTATACAATTGGTTGTAGCGATAATCTTTATGTCAGCCCTCACTCCCGGACCACTTTCATTAGTATCTGTCTTTGTCTGATAAATATAGTTTAAATGTAGCGATGATTTCAATGGGAAGCTAATGGAGTACTTGATTTTGACCTCTCAGGGCATACCATAATTATTTCTAAACAAGGTATTATAACAATATCAGACAACAGAATATTTTTGTCATTTCATTAATTACAGCATTTTTTGCCTGATATATCATTTGTTATAATAGGTGTAGAAAATAAGTTGCAATAAAACTTATAATGGTAAAATTGTCATTGAATTAGTTGATTTTGGTAAAGATTCTACATTTACAAAATAATTATTGGAAATACATTTAATATTATTGTTTTAAGAATAAAAATTATACTTAAATAAAGGTAAATTCTAATTATGGATATTAATAAATTATTAACTAATTTTTAATAAGGAAAAATTATAATCTAATTTGCAATTTAATATGTTGATACTTTATTCTTACACATTTATTCATCAAAACAACAAATTATCTGTCGTCACCAAAAAATACTTGATACCAAGAAGTGTATAGCCAAGGGGTATAACTAAACACATGGTAAATATAGTATCGTATACTCCTAGCGGTCACTCCTTAAAATGTGACAAAAATGGGTCATTTTGTTAAATCTATTATAATAGATAGTATGGCTTTCTCTCACAATATAAATTTACACATACAGTATATTAGACACCTTTCCGAGAATTATCGAGATTTGCCTCAAAAATTATGGTTTAGTTACAATATACATAGATATACGTAGATACTTATAATTAAACCCTCGTCTAATATCACGTCCGGATCTTCTTATTCTGTTATCCAATAAAAATTGACAAAAATAATATTTCACAAAAATTTGATACAAAAGAAAACATTATGTAATCCATTGTATAAATAATGAAAGTTTTTTATTTTTACGACAAACAAATCAATTCATTCATTCATTCATTTTTATTCATCAAATGTTTCATTCATTAAATGCATTCAATATTTCTGTGGAGAGAATTTATTCACTATTTTGTTATGTTTAGTGAAAAAATATATTAATGTTTGCATATGTTATGAGAGAAATGCATTCAATTTCACCACTCATTACAGATATACCGATGCTTTATATGTTAGAATAGAGAGTAAAGCCTAAAAATAACTTTACATAACATTAAATTATTCTCTCTCTCTCTCTCTCTCTCTCTCTCTCTCTCTCCCTGACTATACAAACATAACCCAAGTTTTTGAACTCATTAACAGAATAGGTTTTTTCTGTAAATATTATTATTTTCTCTCCCATAAACGATAATGATTTTAGAGAGAGAGAGAGAGAGAGAGAGAGAGAGAGAATAATTTAATGTTATGTAAAGTTATTTTTAGGCTTTACTCTCTATTCT